GTGCTCTTCGTTATCATTTGCTGGTGCTTTTGGTTATCATTTGCTGGTGCTCTTCATCGTCATTTGTTGGTGCTTTTGGTCGTCGTTTGATGTTGCTTTTCATCATTGTTTGGTGTTGCATTTCGTCATTGTTTGGTGGTGCTTTGGTTGTCATTTGTTAGTGCTTTTTGTCGTCGTTTGGTGGTGCTTTTTGTCATTGCTTGGTGGTGCTTTTTGTTGTCATTTGGTGGTGCTTTTTGTCATTGTTTGGTGGTGCTTTTTATCATCATTTGGTGGTGCTTTTTGTCATTGTTTGGTGTTGTTTTTCATCGTCATTTGGTGGTGCTTTTTGTCGTCGTTTGTTGGTGCTTTTTGTTGTTATTTGGTGGTACTTTTTGTTGTCATTTGTTGATACTTTTTATTGTCATTTGGTGGTGCTTTTCATCGTCATTTGGTGGTGCTTTTTATCATCGTTTGGTGGTGCTTTTTGTTGTCGTTTGTTGGTGCTTTTGATCATCATTTGTTGGTGCTTTTTGTTGTCATTTGTTGATGCTTTTTGTTGTCATTTGTTGGTGCTTTTGGTTGTCGTTTTGTGGTGCTTTTGGTCATCATTTGGTGGTGCTTTTGGTCATCATTTGGTAGTGCTTCTTGTTGTCGTTTAGTGGTGCTTTTTGTTATTGTTTGTTGGTGCTTTTTGTCATCATTTGGTGGTGCTTTGTTAGGGATGTTATGGTCTGGTCTAGTCTGGTCTTGGTCCAAAAGACCGGTCTGGGTAACGGACCGCAGATCAGACCATAATTAATAAACTGGTCATTAAACAGTCCGGTCTAGAACCGGTCCAAGACCGGTTTTTGGACTAGTTTATTTTAAACAATAGAAATTTAGAAAAAATGCACGTATAGCATTTGAATACGTAATCTGCTTAACGTAATACAATAATTTAACAAATAGCGCCATATAGTCTAATGAAAATTTTATTCTTATTATCGTAAATTTGCAAACTTTTAAAGGATTCATTAATCACAGTTTTATACAAATAACCAAAAAGTTTTTTTAGTTTTACAGATTCAAAAAATATTTTTATATTTTCTTATAAGCAAGATAGAAGACATATAGAAGCATATGATAAGACAACTTTTTAGATCAAAAAAAGCCAGGATTTTTTTTTTTTAATTTTTACCTACTTCATTACTAATCCAACTTTTAATACACAGATATGCTCTTGCTGTTTCAGAATGAAGGCGGTTACGAGTTCTTGAAATAGTATTGCCGGCTATTGAAAAGGCTTGTTCACATATAACACTGGTGGCTTGAATGCTTAGATAGTCAGAGTCATTTGTGATAAAATCGGATAAGTTTTCTGATTCGCTTTCCACCAATCCAGCGGGTTTGTGTTTTCATCAATAGTATCAAACGTAAGATAATTATCTAATTCGTTTAATTTGTTGGTATCCATGGTTGATAATTCTGTATCATCAGAAATTAAAGATTCTTCTATTTCTAGTCGATTACACAAGTTCTAAAAGAATTTTCTTGCAGTTTTGACTGGATTTTCCGGAAATTTGCTTGAGACTGGTAAAGCTTGTCTATCCCCATGAATGTATGGATTCATAGCTTCTTGAATAGCTTTTTTAGCTTTAACAATATCTGTTTTATTAAATATTTTTAATTTAGTACGAGGATCAAGGACGGCGGAGACAATAGAGGGCTTATCCATTATACTTCAGTATTCTTCTATTTTTTGGTTCATTGATACTGCAGCTCTGTTTTGGGAAAATCTATTTTGCTCAATATATGCATTTAAATGATTCTGAATATTTAAAAACACTAAACGTATATCATCTATGGTTGGATATGATACGGCTGAAAGTAATTTTGTGGCAGTTTCAAGTGGTTCTAGTAAGGCAAGTACATCCTAAAAACAAATTATTTTATTATATTAGTTTATGATTTTTACTAAAACACATCTATGGCAGATTACATCTATATATATATTATTCTAAAAAACTGGCTAATTAATCGGTATGAGATGCTTTAAGTAAAAATGGTTTATGCCTCAAAAACCCTAGCCTTAATCCTAAAAATTAACCTCAGGAAAAAAATTTATATTAAAAATTTTTATACAAACTTAGAAAATCTAGAGAACATAATAAAAATATATAATAGGTGTAAAATCATCATAGATGCGTTTTATAATAAATATAATTTATTTTATTATAGACTTTATATGCCAAATTCAAATGTATGAGTAATAAACTAAGGTAAAAATTTTTAACAATTTTTGATTGAATTAGGCATACAAAATCCACCAAGAGTAATTTATACTTTTAAATTGTGTTGTTCATTATTATTTGGATACAGTAAATGAATAGATGAATGATCAGCAGCAAGTAGATTAAGGGCTGTTTTCATTTTTTGCATTTTTTGTAACATATAGTAGGTACTATTCCATCTGGTTTTAACATCCAACTCAGGCTTAAGATAGGAAATCCCTTTAAGTTCACATAGTCTACATAGATCACCACAAAGACAAATCGATATTTTGATTTTAGCCATTAAGTTTCAGACTTTATCTACTGAAGAATCAACCATTTCTAATTCTTTTTTTGCGACCAAGTTGAGAACATGAGCTGCGCATCTGTAGTATGAAAATCTGATATTATTGAATTCATTTTGCAGTTCTTGTGCGATTAATCTTCCACAAACAATCATTGCAGCCTCATTATCTGTAGTAAGTGCAAGTGTTTTATCCTTGATGTTAAAATGAGTGAGGAGATTTTGAATAGTATTTGCTATATTTATACCTGTATGTCAATTATTAAATGGGATAATATCTAGGAGAAAATGACACAAGCTCCAATTAGTATCGACATAATGAATGATAACACCAAGAAATGCTTCAAAATTTAATGATGTCCACATATCAGCTATCAAAGAAACCTTTTCAGGAATTTTAGCAATATCATTAACTATTCTATTATGTTTATTTTCAAATTCATCTATAATCTTTGCTTTTACAGCTTGTCTTGTAGGTA